ACTCCACGCCATGTTGTCAGGTGCTTCCTGCTGTTTCCAACAGACGTGACCTCGGGTTTTCTTTTTATCTTCTGTTGCCTCGCAGTTCACATCTCAACTTCGGCAGCAAGCCTTGCCGTAGTCTTTGAGGGCTGGTATCTAGCTTCCACGGAAGGTGCCAGAAGCAGTGGTGTGTGGGACTCCAGCCTGAGCTGAATCTCACAAAGTGCTGTCCATCACAATGAAAATGTGAGCCACATGCAGAATTTTAAACTTTCTAGTAGCCACATTGAAAGCAGTCAAAAGAACTGAGAGCTATAACCTGTGACTGCCCCCCACCCACCCCCCGTCCCCCAAACTCTAACCTCCAAGAGGCTGGCTAGGCCCTGTGGCAGACAGCTGGGGTGTGTCTTAAAATGCTGGGCCCTAAATTATGCAGTCTTCAGAATGGCAGAGTAAGTGGTCTCCAGGAGCCTGGAAAGAGCTGCGGTGCTATGAAGCATCACCGTGTCCAGCGTTCCCGGGAGGGGCCGTGGTCAGCAAACAGAAGCGCTCATCCCTGCGGCAAGGGCAAGAGTTAGCTCCCTGGGCCTAACTTCACTGGCTGCAATCCCAAGCTCGCTCTCCAAACAGCCTCCGAATGATGACGGGCTTTTTGAGAAGAGTCTCCCAAGAGATAGACTAGAGGATCCCACTCTGCAGTCTATTTATTTGGCAGGTTTGTGCCTCACTCAATTAATAAAGTGCCTTGTGATTTATAAATCCGTTCCTTGCCAATTGCCCAACCTGATTCCATTTTCAAAAACACTGACTAAAGGAGATTCCTGGAAGCAGTGGAGTTAAGAGAAGGACTTGGATCATGCGGACTCCCCCTGGCACTGATCTCAGGCTCCAGAGGACCCAGCTGAGCCCCTCACTTGCACACTGTGGCCTGAACTTAACTGAAGATAGGGCAAGATGAGGCCTAAGAAAGCAGTCCCTGGGGGCAGAGGCTACTAAGCATTTGACTACTTGGTAGTTTGAGCCCTCTGAGAGCGACAGATGTCAGACGAAAGGCCTGGTAATCAGTCAGTCTTAAAACCCCGAGCAGTGGTTCTACTCAAACCCATGGGGTCACCACCAGTCAGAATCAACTTGACACAATCCACACCGAGCGGCAGAAACGGCTTTGGGAAGACCAGGCAAGGGCCGCAGCAGACTGGTAGTCCGGCACCGCTGAAGGGCTGCCGGTTTTCAACAGGAATGCAGTCAGTCCTCCTCGGGAGCCTGTGGCTTTCTGCTGTGGCACCATGCTGCCCCCTCCTGGAAGGAAGTTGGAACTCTAGCTTATGTCTAGTCAATGCATTACAAAATGTGAATTCTTTCAGAAACACAAACACACAACAGAACAAATACAAAGCCCTGGCCCTGGTGACCAAATTCTAAAATTCATGTTCTGCATTACACAGGTAAGAGACATGATCAAGGATACGGCCACTGTTTTAATGTGATGGATTTTGCAACTAGGTACAGTATGGTTTTTCTTTGTATGTGCTATATTCCAAAAATAAAATAAATTTAAAATGAAAAAAAAAAATGGTCACAGCCTTAACAACCCTCTGGTTTCTTACGCATCAGCTCTAAACACTGGTCTGAGTGGTTATACAAGGAAAAGTACACTGAAACGGGCTTAAAATCTTTTGACATGAGTGTGTTTCAAACAAAAAACTATGATCAAACTCCTAGTCTTAGGATATTGGTAGCCCACTTAAAAAACAAACTCACTGCCATTGAATTGATGCCGACTCAGATGGACCTTATAGGGCAGGGTAGAACTGCCCTTGTGAGCTTCCAAGACTAACTCTTTATGGGAGGAGAAAGCCCCTTCTTTTTCCCTCCGAGTGGTGGCTGGTGGTTTTGAACTGCTAACCTTATGGCTAGAAGCCCAACTTGTTACCATTACATCATCAGGCCTGAAAAAAAATCCTGCTTCCTGAAACTTACAATCTTAGCTCTAGGGAG